CCTACATAAATAAATGTATGTGTATACACATAGACACACACACTTTTAAGGAGTTTTAGATTGTGGTCAATATAACAAGTATAGATTATGGCAAATGTACTTTCTATGGGTATAACATGAGTTTAATTTTTATATTTACAGGAAGGCTCTTTATTCGGCTCTCCATTCTTAAAGGGATTCCTGGCTGGTTATGTTGTTGCCAAACTCAGGGCTTCTGCGGTGCTGGGCTTTGCAGTGGGAACCTTCACAGGAATTTATGCTGCTCAGGCATATGCAGTGCCAAATGTGGAGAAGACCATCAAAGACTACCTTAGCTCTTTAAGGAAAGGGCCTGATTAAGCCAAGAGGAATATGCTGACACTCCATTAACTGCTCCTTTCATGCTTTAAGTGCTTTCTTGGAACTATATTCAGTATTGGGTACCTCCTAATTGCATACTATCACTACGTGTGCAATTGTCTGAACTGGATCTGTAGCAGGTAGTAGGAATTGGCTCAGCAGGCCTGATAACACAATGTTAAGTGCTGTCTCTAATTTTTCTTGTCTAGATTTAATGCAAATTGTGTTTTGGATGAAATGTTACAGAGCAATGATGAGAAAGAGATGAGAACATCGCTATTTATATACATACACATTGCACGCTCTGGACAATCAGCAAATTGACTTTCAACTTACATTTTTCATGAATTTTAAATAACACTTCTACATCTCAGTAGGCTCATCTCTACCTTAGTGGACCAGGCTTGCATATAAACCTTTCATCTGGGGAGAATGGTATTCTTTTAGTGTGTATTAACCACACACTGTACAGTCTGTAGCTCCCAGAGTATATTGCTTTATTTCCCTATCTTCAGCTGTGCAAGCATTTTACTATGTATATGAATAAATGAGATTTGATACCAATATTGTATGTATTTGCATAGCTGTCTCTATGTAATAAAATGCAGGGAATGGGGTGGACAAGTTCCTTTAGAATTTAGGAGCCATTCAGTCCAGTCCACATGCCAATAGGCATTTGAGGAGCTAGGAAAAGTTTGAAATCGGTAGTCTGGTGCCTTGGCCACCTGTCTCTCCTCTGATTTGGACAGCTCTAATATACTGATAAAGCTGGAATGATTGTTATCGAAAATGTAGGAGCAGAGGAATCCTTGAGATCCTCCACAAGAGATATGTTGAGAAGAGTACAGTGGGCGCTAATGTTAATGTTGTCTGTAGTCATCTATGGCTCTCATGCACCTCTAATATCTATTTGCAGAGTGGATGGGGTAATACCTTTCAGTTCCTCAGCAGTTGTCCTCCTTATTGAGGTATCAAAATTCCTAATATCTTTGGCATGTCTCCTAATCACAGAGAGGAAACCATTTGATATGTCAGTTTCATGGAGGCTGGCTCTCCCGTATGCATTTCCTGCCATTCTCTATGGTGTCAACAATAATTTAGTGGTGCACATGCAGCATTTTATGGACCCCAGCAGTTTCCAAGTGTTGAGTAACCTAAAGATTGTCAGTACTGCCCTACTCTACAGCATCTTCTTAGGTCAGAGACTTTCCATTCGTAAATGGCTTGCCTTGTTTTTGCTGACAGCAGCCGGGGTGTTCTACGGCTACGGCGGCATCCAGGATGTAGAGAAGGCTTCAGCTGCTACGCATCTGTACATAACTCTTCCAGGGTTACTGATAATGCTTCTCTATTGCCTGATCTCTGGATTGTCCGCTGTTTACACTGAGATGACACTAAAGACTCAAAAGATCCCTCTGAACCTGCAAAACATTTTCTTGTACTCCTTTGGCATTGTGCTCAATTTGTTAGGCCACTTATCGGGAAGTCACAGCGGTGGTTTTCTAGACGGCTTCTCCATTTGGGTTTTGGTCATCATCATCAGTCAGGCTTTCAATGGTTTGATCATGTCTGTTGTCATGAAGCACAGTAGTAACATCACCAGACTGTTCATCATTTCCTGCTCCATGCTAGTGAATGGACTTCTGTCTCACTTGCTGTTTCAGCTCCAACTTACTTTTCTTTTCTTCTTGGCTGTCATTCTCATTGGCCTTGCTGGTTATTTGTTCTATGGCATTAGTTGAAATTATAAGATACAGCTGGCATTTATGGCAGTACTAACCTTTACTCTCTCTTAAAACAGACATTATTATACATTTATTATAAATGAAAGGGTTGGTACACTCTTGCAATAAAATACTCGGGTGCCCTGTACTTTTTAAGCTTTAAAATGCGTAGTTTATTTGCAATGTCTGTAGGCCCATTGTGGTTTATCCACAGCCTGGCTGAAAAACTACTATTGGAAGTGATCAGCACCATCCTGCCTGTGATCTGGGATGCCTAGTATGTTGTCGGGTGCACCCCCAGCATCACTGGAACCAGCATTCTTCCTCTTTCAGGACTTACGCAGTGCACTTTCCCTCCTCTGTTGCAGCAGCCCTGAGCTTATCTGCGGTGACGCAAGGAGCCTGCACATGGGCAAGTCTTGAAAGGGGGAGCGCACTTGTTCCAGTGATGCTTGGGGAACATCCAACAACGTACGAGGCATCTCTGATAACAGGAACGTCGTTGCTGATTACCCCAAGTAGTAGTTTTTCAGCCAGGTTTTGGGTAAACCACTATGGACCTGCAGGTATTGCATTTTAACCACTTGCTGACCAGGGGTGATGAACACCCTTCCTGTCCAGGCCCTTTTTCAGTATTCAACGCTGCAGTATTTAGACTGACATTTATTCTGTCATGCAACGCTGTACTGAAATGAAAGTTATACTATTTGTTGGGGACAGATAGAGCTTTCTTTTGGTGGTATTTAATCACCCACTACGGGTTTTTATTTTTTTCTATATAATGAAAAAAGTTCAGAAAATTTGGAAAAAACCTGTTTTCCCTACTTTGTTATAAAACATTTCCCATTACCCAATTTTTTGGTAGAATATTAAAGACAGGGTCACGTCGGGTAAAGGGACACCAAACATGTCAAACCTTAAAATTGCGCGCACCCACGAAAAAAAACTACCATGCCTAATATTGGCCATAGGCGACACTTTAAAAGCTTTTACCGCTCATCCATTTAGTGTTATCAGTGATTAATGGCCCTAAAATTATTGCTCCCACGTTTGCGGGGATATGTAATGTGTGGTGTAATTGTTGTTTTTGCACGTAGGTGCACCCGACTTGTATTTCCGTTTAGAGACATTAGGGCTCTCTAAGAGATCTGCTTCACCAGCTTCTTCTCTGGCTTTAGCAGCCAGAGAAATGACCGCTAAAGGACGGAAGTGATGTAATACACATCGCTTCCGCCTTTAGAAAGAGTGGAGGAGAGATCAGCGGTGGGGGAATGCTGATCGCTCCTCCTTCTCAGCATAGGCAGCTGCTGGCAGTCCCGGGCTCGCAGGAAGG